TCATTTTATTCTACAGATTATGTGGTTCTTTCCACACCATTCCCCTCTCTTTTCTGCTTTCTCTCTGCCTTGTTTTGGTAAGATTACCTTTTAAAATTTAATCTTTTTATTGATTTTTTACACTTGGTTAACTCTTAAGAGGTATTCCAAACAAAGTACTTCTTTCAAGAAAAGAGACTGATTTAGTACTTAGAAGACAGCTCTAGTAGATAAGAGACCTCAATATACCAAGATGGTCATGATAACTAGAATAATGGACCATATGCACACTCCTAGCCTTCCTCAGTGTCAAAATCCTGTGACCTATAGTGCTACCAAACATTGCCTGGCAAAAAAACACTGTGGTATGTTCCTAGGTTACTGCCTCCAGTTACCCAGCATAGTCCTCTGCCAGAGACCAATGCTCCCTGGAACAACGGACAAAACTGAGCATGCATTGAATCCAACACATTTTCTTACATTGCCAAGGAGCTGAGGACCTCCTGACTCATGAGCAAAAGATTCATCCAAATAACTCGTTTGCAAGAGAGGTCATCCCTGGCTGAAGGTTTGACACCACCATTGTATCACCTGACATCACAGGTGATGAGCAACAATTTGATATTCCACATGACTTTACTGGCTCCTTAGTGAGGCCAGTTTCACCTACCTGTTTCCACTTTAAGAGCTGTAATAAAGCTTACCAATTTGTCAACTACTCAAGAAGTCTTCTGCAGAAATGTGCTATAGCTGTGCAAAATGTTCAGAATTCAAACAAGAATTCAAACAAGACCATCCAAGCCATTTGGAGCATGGCACTCTCTCTGCCCACTACAAGCTGAACAACCCCCAAAAGCATCACCAAAATATAGCTCTGTCCTGGTTTGATCCAGGATGAAGCCACTTTTCCTTTTACTGATTTATTATTTTTTTTCCCCTTCCTTTAACATCAATTCTAGTGCTTCATAACAATGACCTCAAATTCTTAATGTGTTATAACAGTAATATTTTGTGCTGAAACGGACACTGTCCTGTTGGAATATTTTGTTCTGATTTAGCATGTCCTGAGAAATGGAAAGCCTCAGGCTCCCAGCCTTGCCACCACGGTCACGTAAGTGAAATTGAGAGGAGAAACAATAATCAGAGATCACAAATTATAATAGAAACAATACATTCTTTCACTTTTACTAATCTTACATATCTCAAAAGAAGGGAAAGCCTTTTAAAACTTCATTGTTTCTATCGGAACTGTGGGGTTTTTTCCAAAATTTGTCTTCCAAAAAATTCTCTTTGATGCTAAATTTCAGTGAGTTAAAAAACTGATTACCTTACAGTTATCTTTTCAGACAGTTTTTAAATTTGCAGTGAAAAAATACACATTTTAAGTAACACGAGTGCATGCAGGGTTCAATTCAAGGAAGAATTTTATGAATTTTTAAAAGAGATGAATTAATATATACTTATATGTTGCAAATGGTAAATAAATAAATAAATAAATCTACTTGTTACGTTGCTATTTACATAGGAAACAATTTGCAATTACAATGACTAGAACTATGACAGCCAGGCTTTCAGTGTGATGCCTGCTCGAAGCAATCCAGTGTTGTGGAAAACAAATCCATGGAGGAAGATCTGCTAAGGCAATGGAGCTCAAAGATAAACTGAGAAAGCAGAGGTGGGAGGACAGAAGGTGAGCGTGTGGTTGAGGGTGCCAGCGAGAATATGTAGCCAATTAGGAGAATATTTTGGAGTTGCAGACAAAGGAGGCTCCTAGAATGGAGAAAAGCACCTCAAGAGGCAAAGGAGGGTGGGAGAAGAGATGATGAAAGTGAAGGACAATGACAAGATGAGCAATGACAGTGAAGAATACGCTTAGGCTGGTCATTAAAAGGTTTCTAATGTGAGACAAATTAGGAATTTTCAAAGGTAGTACCTAAGGCAAAGTATGTCTGGTCTGTTAAAACTGTAAACCTTTGAACAAGGTGATATTATGTACTGTGTGAAACAACAGCAGCTAGACTCTGTGACCCAGGAACTTCCCTCCAATGTCATGTTCCCACAAAGATAAATCATGCAGGACGAAAGAAAAGTGCTTTATATACTAACCCAAATTCACCTATTCTTCCTTACCATGTTTTTGATTCCTTCTACAGCTTGTTAATCCCAACTTTTCTACCTGGCTGGAAAGACTACTCTTCTGACAGACTTGCCTTGGAACAGTCAAACCCTTCATTTTAAATGACTGAATCACTCATTACAAGAATAAAATGGCAGTCCAGAACACAACAATATTTGGAAGCTGATGTACTTACGACCATCCACTGTCTTTGCCTCCAGGTGCACTAGATCAGGGTCTCTACCAGACCCCATCATAGACCTGTAAAAGAAAGATTGAGACAAAGGCATTAAAACCAACAGATAGCATGAATGTCTGAGGTATTAATTCCACAGGAAATCATGTTCAGCTGAACCTAAACTCATACTCACAAGAACTGATAATTTTGAAAGCATTTTGGAGCCTTCACTAAAATGAACTTGAAAATTTGAAAGAAATTCTACAATGTTATTGTATCAAAGCTATCGTACTTAAGAGTTCTTAATTTCTAACCCCTTCATTTCTTTCCAGCTGGAGACTTGTTTCTGTTCTTGTTGGCTTCTGACATTTTAATGTGTCTCCTGGGTTGATCAGAAGGATGCATTTCAGTTCTGGGTGGGATACAGAAGACTTTAATTTATAGGATAATAGTGTTTGTGAGCATACTAATTATAGCTGTTCCTTTTTATTGGACATTTTATGCACATTTGCTTAATTGACCCTCTTAATGATCAGTATTCCCTCATTAATTAAGAGACATTTTATCACTTCTGATCTAATAAAAACGGTGTTCCATTAATAAAATAAATGTCAGATTGACTCAGAAAATTACTATTTGTTCACTCTGAATTAACGAGCAGCAACATCAAGACATTGAGCACTGCAAATAAGGGGTTTATGGCCTCAAGCTTTGCTTCCATTGTTGAGGTTCCCCTGGACTGACACTGCAGGCCTCGACAGCTCCATGGGACAGTTCAAATGGCCAGTGGTTTGATGGACAGTCTGCATTATGGCAGTACTGACTGTAAGTACCTGCCAATCCCACTGTACAGCTATCTTGTTCCTGGTCTTGGTCTCATCACCCAAGTCATAGTCCTAGATTAAGGCTAAGGGTTAAACAACCAGTTTCTTGTTAGCTGCCTGACCTTCAAGATACTAGATGCATGAGGAAAGAGAGACATTAATTTCCAGTGACAGACAAACGAAATGCTGTTCTGTTCAAAGTCTCATTATTTTTCAGGAAATCAGAAGCGAGGTTCAAACAGTGATTTAGACCTTAATTCAGTTCCCACTGCCTGCAATCAGCAGCAGCTACAACCCTTAATCATCATGCTCGTTAACTAATAACCATTATAAAAATGTTAACAATAACAAGACTATTTGTGCCTTGATTAATCCTTAGCTTTTCTTGATGAAGTCTGTAACAATTCTCTAGCTAGAAAAGGTTTAGGAATTTTTTATTCTCCTCTGTTGGGGACTGGAAAGTTTCAGAAAAGACTGTGAGCTAGCACTGCTTTCATATCTTGTCCATTTTTAAGAAAGTTTATGGAAAGGCCTTTTTCTCCTAAACATTTAATTTCCATTTAAAATCTCTACTTCCTGATAACTGACATCAAATGGAAGGGAAGGGAGTACCTTCCTAGGGCATTTTTCCTTTATCTACTATATTTAGCAGATCTAGGAATAAAATGCTGGGCCTGCTTGTTACAATTCAGTTCAAGATGAATAGACACCAATGATAAACAGCTTCAAAAATCAGCAGAGGACTAAGATTTTAATGTGACATATATCCTTTTTGTTCTTATTGATTCAAGTGGGCTTTAAACCACCTGGAACTTGCAGAAGACATGGTACAACTTTGTCAGTGCATTCTGCCTCCTGACCTCATGCAGCCCCACAGGGATGTCAAGTCTCCAAAGAAACAAGGATTATATTCCATGGATTTGAACACTTTTCAGAGGCACGTAACAATGGTATTCATCCAGCAACAAACTTGTTGCTCTAGTTAAAGCCTGTGACTCTACCGTCAGGTGCTTTCTGAGTTTACTCCTCACAGGGATATTCTGACCCCAAGAAACGTCTCTACAGCATCTCAGAAAAAGACAGTTAATTCAGAATGAGATGTCTCACTGATGGATGGGACATGATTGTCACTGTTTTCACTTGTGATATGAGCCATAATTTATACTAAAGTCTTAAATGTCTTCAGAGTAGCATATAAATATCTGGACCCACCAAGTCCTGAAAGCTAGAAGGCTGCAGGTGTAATGACCTGCATATTTCTTAGTCTCACACTACAACAGCCAATATTGAGACTTGCAAAACTCAAGGTAGAATTAAGTCATCAGTTGTCCCAAGAAGGGACAGAACAAGGATGTCTGAAACATGACCGGTGATAAACGTTAATCTACTGAAGGGCTTTTCTTCTTCTGATATATCCTAACCCCTGCCAATTAGAAATGTGATGACAAATGAAGATGAAAACTAAGCCCCGAGAATCTCAGGGCATTCCTAAAGTCAAATGGGACATGTGAGGTAGAGGCAAGAATCATATTCAGGTCTTCCTATCTGTTAGATCTTTCTACCTATCTTAGAAAAGACACATTCCAATTTTTTGTATATAGTAGACTTCATCTACTTGTGAAAGCACAAGGTCACAGTCAGGTCCATAACACTGATAACATGAACAATCAGTTGCAAAGGACAGGCAAAATATAAACACAAATCTGCTCAAATCAATATCAGCTGTGCACAGCTGACATCCAGAAATGTATCACTCCCATCTGGATTCTGCTGAGAGCTTACTAACCAGAATTGTTTTTCATGTTACATTTTCTTGTATCATGCTGCTTTGTTCCACAGTTGCCCCATGATATTTCTCCATACATCCATACTACCTGAAAAACCACATAAAATAATCTTCATCTTACCCAGCTATACACTTTTGGAAGGTTATTATATGAAAACTAGAGTGATCAATAAATACAAGCTTCACAGACAGAAGAAGGAAATTGCATGCTGGATTTGCCCTAGATAACACCAAAGCCTCAAACTCGATGTTTATAACTTCATACAACAGCACACTCTGCTTCATTACCTTTTGTGCACACAGTCAACACAACCTGGTCAATGAACACTTCACAAGCTAAAGTGTTGGGCATTTGATATCTTATAAACCAAGCACCCTGCAAAGAACAGGGGTACAGGTGAACAACACTCTGTGACACACACAGTTACTGATTTCTCTCAGAAATTTCTCAAAAAAATCAACAAGCAGTCCAGAACCTTGCCATGCCCTATTCTAAGCCCTAATTCATCATCATTGTTAGCTATGGCAGCAACACTTTCTCCTCATATTTCTCAATTCTTTTCTTCCCTTTCAGTATCCTTTCTCAAAGACCAATCTCATGCATCCACAAACTTTTCTTCTAACTGCAGTCTATGTTTTATTTTATGGTAAAATGCAGCATGTTCTTTGTCCATTCCTTTAATCTCAGGCTTTCTGTAATACTCCCTGAAACTTCAGAACTCTAGGGATATGCTTGCAGCACTTTCTGCTGAACAGTGCCTATTGTATTTTTGCAATTACCTTTGTTGTGTTGGGTTGGTATACTTGTCTGGATATTTTGAAAGAAAGAAAAAGGAAAACCAAAAGACAAAAAAACCCACACGTTTTTGGAAAATGAGGATTTAAAAAAGCCAAGGAGAGTGCAAGGCAATGACCCCACTGCATTTACACAGAAGACGCTCACATTACGAAAAATGTAGGACTCCCACAGTCCTACTGCAAATTTGCTTCCTAAAATTTTAATCACCATCAAGGCTGCTGAGCAGTCATCTCTACATGAGAGCTTTACAAATCAGTATCAGTGGCTGCAGCACAGTAATTGCTCTGAATGCAGAGTATACACCCACCGTGACAAGCAGCACAGGAAAAGACCCCAAATTTTCCTTGGGTTTAGAACTAGGCGGAAATAAACAAAAGGAGCCTGGCACTGTCCATTTCACAGCAAATGCTAGTTAGCATATTTCTGTTGGGACCAACCCCTTGCCATCTCTCTGTCTGAAACATTTCTAAAACCTTGGCTTCCTTGGCCTGCTAACTCTTCTCAGCCAAGGAAATTCAATAGAGACCCTGTTATCCTAGGGTTTCCACTTCTTCTCTATTTTTTCACTTCTAGGGACAAAAGTAATTGTTTATGGATGCTGGGAACAGATGGGTTTTGCAAGGCAGTTAGACCAGTCAGAAGTGCAAAAAGGCATCATTGTGAAAATAGCAAAAGCTTCCATTTGGTGTACTTAATTTCAAGCTACCATTTTTCACAAAGCACAAAGACAATAAGGGCTCCATCCCAGGTACCTGTGCATTCTGGAACATAGCTTTAGGTGCCTTGGATTTTGGAGGCTTGACTTCAGACAGTCGTACCATTATCTGGGACTACATGCACAAGAGACTTAATGGTAAACTTTTCATAAGTATTTCTTGTACCATACATGCTCACAACAGCCAAGATCAAAGGTATTTTAAGCTATGCAATAAAAGGCAACCTTACTTCAGAGAATCTTCAATGCAAATGTCCTAGAAAGAAAGGCTGGAAGAGCAGAATTGTTACTATGGCCTTTTCACGAACAGAACCAATGCAAATGCGGTTTGTTTTGTGGAGGATTTTTTTTTTTTTCAATTTTGTTGTTGTTTTGTTTGTTTGCTTGTTTTATGCAGGCAGAGATGCTATGCATCTTTTCCATGTCTCAGAGGAAATTAACAAGTGCAGAACTAGGATTTCTATGACCATTTCTCTCCTCCTCTTTGGAGGAAAGAGTCATGATTTCTTAATTCTGCAATGGATGACAGATAACTGACAGGTAAGAGCACAGCTCTTCTAAGGTGGGTGGAATGAGATCCCCACAGTTCTGGCCTTTTTGAGCTTATTGACACTGACACAGTAGGTTAGAACTGCCTGCAATGCAATACCAAAAAGTGACATATCACTTGGAAAATCCAGTTTCACCCCTCCTCACTAAGAATTATCATTTGCCTATGTGCCTTCTCTTCTCCTTCCTGCAACTTGTCCCAATTCTTTATCTAGACATTAGACTCTAGTTGCATTCTGCAGATGGTTTTGTGCTTCATGGGTTATTTATTTTCAGATGCCTCCTGACCTTCAGCATTCTTTCTTCCTGGCCCCCACCTGAGCACACCTCCATCTCCACATATACTGTATTACACGGAAAGACTAATTAGCTGCAACAGCCAGGTGAAAGAGAGAACATACTAGGAGAGA